CATACCATCCCCCCCCAAACAAAATATATAGGACTTTTGTACTCACTATAAAATTATTTTCTTGGAGTCCATTGAGGGACACAGGAATTCAGATACTGTTGCATTATACAGCCACATAGAGGTGGATTGGAGGCCAGCCAAGGATAACCACTCTACTTGCTAGTATGCCTCAGTTTGTAGCAAGCAGTACCAAGAAGATGAACATAAACACCGGGGACTTGTGTCTCTCATTGAAAGAAAATGTTATGGCGAGTACAAAAATCCTACTTTCTTTCTCATCCATTGAGGGACCCAGAATTTCAGATACTGTCGGAACATTCAGTAGCAATTCAACAGAGGGGTGGGCAACACAGCAACTACCAGTAACAGGCCCAGGGCAACACAGAAAAGGCTGCCACCAGAGGAGAATTACAGTAGTCAGACAATATTCAGACGGTAACACCAAATCTGCGATCATCAAAACCATGCCAAAACACGTGGATCAAAAACCAATATATGGGAGAAGAGACCCACAAGTCAATGTGGTCAACAAGAAATTGGGTCAAGCTCCTGGAAGGAACAGGTCCCAAGAAGGAACCTAAAAAAAGCAGGTCAGAAAGACCAATCAATCTAAGCAGAAAGGCCCCAAGCTTTTACCACCCCCTGGTAAAAATTGTGTTAGTCACCATCTTCAATTATGAATGCTGAAACCCGACAAGTCAGATCTGCCAACATCTTGCAGGCCTTAAACCTTTTGGGGAGAGATTATCCACGAGAATCCATAATACTTACTTTCTTCACAGGACGTCATCTTATTATCAAACAATAGGGATTCCAGGAATAAACACTAGGCCAAACAGGAGTCAAGGCTGTAGAAGAAGCATCAGGTGTGAATGGGCGACACTTAGGATTCAGATCCCTCTCCAAGTCAGACATACAAAGCTGGCCCCAATTGATCTTGTAGGTTAAAGGGTCCCCCTGGAGAGGGGATACACAGATGAGCGAGGTCCAAAACCATCCCTTTGTATGAATAAGCCACCAAGTGCCGACGGTGCCATTTTTGTTGCTAGCTTTTGCACAGAACAATGCTCATTATTCATAATACACTTCAGTATTCTTTTCCTGACATAGGCCTGTGTGTATTTAACCATGCCCTTCTCTTATCCATCTTCATACACCATGAAATGTTGACATGTTAAACAGTATAATGTAACAATGAACAGAACACAACAAAGGATGCAGTGTCTCGTAATTTATGTATATATTACATGTTTATTACAGATGTAACATATTTTGTAAAATTTACATTATGAAAAAAATCAAATATATTTACATAGGTCTCTTGTAAGATAAACATGTTTTTTGTTTTAATTTACAATCAAAAGTAAGAACATTCCATAAAAATTCTGGTGTACTTTAGCTTTTCAGTGTTTACAAAGTCATCTAAACAAGAGGCAGCTAGGAGGATATCACTGTGTATGAAAGCAAGAGCCAGCTCGCTAAACATTACACTTGGCAGATACCAGCATCGACCTGTACAATCCCAGTTCATTACTAATGAAAATTCCCATAGAAATCTGTATGGCTTCCATATTGTAACCTGTTCTTTAAGCTAATAACATTTCTGAATATCGAGGATAAAAAGTGCTTAACGTTAAAAATGTGTATGACCAAATTGAGTCACAAATGCCTGTAAGCAACGGATGAACTATAAGGATCAGCAAACACTGCCGGGGATACCGCAACTTACAGTTCTTCAGCTGTTAGGAGACAAGAGGAAGCCCGAAGGTGTTCCATCACTGAAAGTACAAGGGCTCAGCCACATGCAAGGTTTTTTTTTCCTTAATGCTTAACACCATGATTTCCCTTTTCCTGCCACGTTATCAGTGATCAGTATTACGAATGAAGCAACTGTCAACAAAGTGTTAAAATGCCACATGTAGTTCTACCATAATTCCTTCCAGACAAATGATAGCTTCCGCTTCCGACAGTCAAATAATTAATTTTGCATAAAGTATGCATTACTTTCGTTAGGGCCTGTACAAATGTTTGAAGTATCCATTCTACCCAACAGTAATGGTTTAATTTTGCTGGTTGCTATGGATTACTAAATACAGCTGCCTACAGGTAATAATGGAATGCTCACATGGACAAAATGTGATGTAATTTACAAACACTGGGGCAAATCTGACGCAATTATTTATATTGCCAAATTCCATCATTTCAAGTAGAACTACACTTTTGTTGAATTTAAAAATATCTTAATGGTCTATCTAGGCCATTTATATGCAACGCAAGGACTTTTTTTTGCCCCACTTCTTTACTGGAGATCCTTACCCACAATCTGATCTTCAGATACTGATGGACCATTGCAGTACTTGCCATGAAATGGCTGGTAAGTTAGAGAATCTGCCTGTGATAGGTACACAACTAGATCCTGTATTATATAAAGAGAAATCCTGCATCTCAGCAACCCTGAAGACATACAAATCATTAGTCTGTAATGTTTTAGGGAAACTGTCACATGACAACAAAAATGTATCAGTACTTGACAAGTATTAGTACTTGTACTTGAAAGGGTGGTATCGGTGCATCCCTTTATATATATATATATATATAAAAATCATACATTAAAACAGATGCACAAATCCTTTAAGCCCGTGTGCTCCTTAAAAATGACAGCTGCCTCCTAACGTCTGAATTTTTCTCTAGTCTAGTCTTGGAGCTGGAAAAGTATCTGTACTTGTACCGAGTACGGTACTTGGTATCTGAACACCCCTAGCTAGGACAAAGTGGACACCATGTTGCCATGGGTGCATGCAATATTAAAATTTTTGGTCAATGTTAGAAAACCACAGCTGGCTGCATATTGAAACGGAAAGGTCATTGAAATGAGGATACCAGAGTGAGGAATAGGCTGGCACAAAGTGGTTTGTGTAGCAATCACACATTAAATCAATTGTTAAAGTCTTGGTGTTATAATTTATTTTTTAAATTAAACCTTACTGGATTCTATGCACAGCTTCTCTGATTACCCTCCAGCTTTGCAAAAAACCTCCCAGAGTTGCCAATGTCTCTGAATGGACAACTTCTCCTTGGGAACCATTTAAACCCTGGGTTCAGCACTGACTGTACAATAACAGACCTATGCTCTCACTTAGAAGAAATGACAGCTGGATATATAGCTGTTGTCTGTGTGGCAGTACACTGCATAGCAAGCTTAAATACACCAACGTAGCAACAATCATTGTGTTAAAATCATTACAATGTTGCGTATGAAGCATTCCATCTGTCTGCAGCAGGGGTGTAAAACGTAATGTGGCGTTAAAGAGCTCGAAATTTGACTCTAAGTGGCAAGCTGACAGTTTTAAGGAGCCAGAACATATGCTTCTACTGGTCTCAGAAGAAAAGTCTTAAAGGAAACCTGTAGTGAAAAATACGGGGGCTGCCATGTCTGACCTTCTACAATGTCCGGATGTCTCTAGCTTCAACACTTTATCACTGGCCCTGAGAAAAACACTTAGAAATCAGGAGTACAAATCAGAACTCTTGAAGTGCATACTTGCTCCGGTCACTCCCTTCAAGTACTGAAGCTTCTGGATCAGCATGAAAGTCAGGCAACTAGAAGTTTTTGAACGACAGCTCAACAATGCCGTCCTCCATATTTTCTCATTACAGGAATTACATTCATACGATTTGGGTGCATTAGTTATCTGTCATGTAGGATTTGTCTAGTCCTGATCTACAGTTTCCATGTAGCAATCAGCAAAATCTGAACATTGTGCACAGGGTACAAAGGATACTTCGAGCGCCCATACAAGCATAAAACAACCAGGAAAACACCACTTGGCTTCCGCTAACAAGCCTTACAACATACTTTCTTTTAAACAGCGGGAGTTATAAGCATCCATACAGATCTGTATGTGTTCTCTAGATTTGATTCACATACCAATTAGACTGCTAAACAGGTTACAACAGAGAGAGCCGGAAGTGTTAACCATTAGCTTTTTAAACTGTTAAAAAGTTATAGAAAACTGTTGCCCAAAACAAAAGCACAATAAATGTGTTTTTATTGCTTAGTTTTATTGCAAAAAAAACAAACCAGACTATCCATACTGACTAAATATGAGAGACTATTGTTAAGTAGTGGAAGGTTAATTGGTGTTATAAAGTATTTCTGTATCTGCAGAATTTACAAACTGTAGTGGTTCATGTCTTTGTACAGTCAACTGATTAAATAGGACAAGCAGTGCACTGCACTATTTGTTTTTTTATGTGACCAACATTTGTTTTCTCTACTTTGAAAATCACAAGACCATAATGTTTCAGGGGCCGCGTTACTTACAGGTACGTTTAATAGCAGTTCATCTAAAAGCTTGAGAACATTTTCTTTTGATGAATTATGATTTACAATACATTGAGTGATCGGTCTATATAATTCAGGAAACAAAATGTGGCAGGTAAAAATGGCAAGGATTTGATTGGTAGAGAGCGCTGCATCAATATACAAGCTTAATTATATACCTGGGTACGGTATATGGTTTATTATCAGACTAGAACTTAGGCTTTTAAACAATACGGACAATTGATTTCCCTGTAATTGACACTACAACATTTGGCCCAAACTTTATTATTTACCTTCTACACAACGGTGTACAATATGGCAGAAAAAATACTTAACTGAATCAGACAGAATTCTTATTTTTAAAACTCTTTTTATCAGTTAAATGGAAGGCGAGAGAGTATGTAAAATGAACAAGAAACACTTACTGTTTTCTTACTAATGTATATTTTGTATTTAATGCATATGATAGCATGACCAGGCAGTATATTAGAACATTTCCCGCACTGCTCACACGATTTCTGTCCCCTGCCTCCTCGCTTCTCTATACGGACTGTAGTGTCTCTCTGAAGGCCCACGCATTTCTTATGCTACATGACTAACCTGCCTGGCAAGGAAATAATATAATGAATGATTGACAGGTATGGAAAGTTTCCTAAACATTGATTTAAAATGCTACTAAGAAAATGCACACATAGCTGACCACTGTATTGTCAACTACCAAGCTTGTTCTCGAGTTTTACTGACACTACCCCTTTATGCTGCAAGGCAATTATTCATATAATGTTATAGCTTTCCAGTTGTATTGATATATGGAAATAATGATATTTATTATATTATAAGCAGTGTTATATAAAGTAGCACCTATTGTTAACTGACCCTTCACAATGTCTACATCTGAAACCTTTTCCTATGAATAAGATGTTAGAATAACCCCAATCTGTTTACAATACATACACTGTTTATTAGGATTTACATTGCAGGCACCTCTTTTCCACTGACTTGCTTAAGATATCTGTACTTTAGTTGGTTTTAACCTGGCCACTTCCACCAGGCAGAAACAGTGGTGGGTATGGCCATGGACTAAAGATGCCATGCTATTCCTCTCGCCAAGGAATATAAAGGGCTAACTACAGTCTAGAAAGTAGTATTTACGGGCACTTAGATATATGGCAGTGGGTTTTACCTAGCAAAGCCCATTTTTCGTTTAAAAAATCAAATAAAATTAGCAGCTATTTAAAAACATCTATAAATAGGGAACTTTTAAGAAAAAAAAAAAAAGCTTCTTACATAGTGTGGTGCAAGTGGGCAAGTAAAACAAAAAGACTCATACGTAGAATTCATCCATACTTGTGCTCAGTCAACCTCTGTTACTTAGGCTAAATCAATCTGGCAGTGGATTGGTGAGCTTGTTGTCTTGGCAACAAAATCAATGAAATGCATCTAAGCACACATGATTAGGGTTACAAGTTGGGCGGTTTTCCAAAAGTGATCAAATATAAACATTTAATGCAACCCTCCCCCCCCCCCC